CCAGTGAATTTAGGGAGGGCAGAATAAGTGGCCCCAGTGTCACTTGAAAAGGAGATCGGCTTACCTGCCACCACAATCATTACCCGAGGCTCTGTCCTGGTGGTGTAAGTCTGTGGGGCCTTGTCAGGACCTGGGCAGCTTCAGTCTTCAGTGGCCAGTCCCAGGAGGTCTGGGAGCTCCAAACCGGACCTGGACTGGCTGAGGTCCAACCTGGAGGGGCCAGGCTACAGTTTGATTTCCAGTGGCCTTCCCTTCCCACCTCGGGCAGGACCAGGTGGGGGTTTCCGGTTTGAGCAGGACTTGGCCCAGTGTCCTTTTTTGCATTTGAAGCATGGGCCCGGAGGAGGCTTAGCTCCTGACTTACTCTTGGTTGGAGGACCAGCACTTCATTTGGGGTTCATGAGAGCGATGCTAGGAGCTGAAAGGCCTCCATCTGGGTACCAGCTTTGGTCTGATCTCGCCTTTGTTTTTGGATTTGGGTCTCCTAGTCTCTACTATTAAAGACCTTAAAGGCCCGGTTAATGAGGACTTTATGAAGTGTTTATGGACCTGTGTCTATTTTTTGAAGTTTGTGGCGTATGTCAGGGCTGATTGGGATATAAAAAGGGTTTTCAAAAGAAGGGTTCCCTCTGGGGAGGTGGGATCTAGGGTGGTAAACTTCTGTAAGGCCTCCGTGAGGGGGGAGGGGAAGAGAGCTGGGTTTTTGTCTGGAATTTGAGTGATTTTATTGAGTTTATCATAGTTGACTGCCTTATGGGCAGCCTTTTTGAGTCTGGCAATGAGACGGGATTATATGGCTACGGAACTGGCGCCCTGCGGAATGAACCTGATATTCCCTTCTTGGGTCAATTTGGCAGATCGTGTTAATGCTAACCAGGTTGGCCGCTGTGTCCTGTCTAGGGAGGGCCTCGGCCTGGTTCTGAGCTGCTAGCCAGACCTGTTCCTTCTCCTCTGGGGATGGAGAGGAGGACAGGGTGGCATACATGTTGTGCCAGGTCAGGTCATACGGCTGGGTCAGGTACTCCAATCCCTTGGTAAAAGTTGTTGGGTCAGTGGAAAAAGACCCTTGTCTTTTTTCAACCTGGGAAAGGTCAGACACAGACAATGGGAGGTGTACCTGGACTGTGCCCTCAGTTCCTGCTCCCTCCCTCAGGGGTAGAATGGGCATGGGGACAGAAGTGGCTGTAGAGGAAGGCAGTCTTTGGGTGGCCCGAGAGCGAGTATTGGGTGGGGAAAAGGCTGTATTGGAACTCGAGTTGTCGGGATTTGGGCTCTCAGGGTTGGTGGGAGAAGTGGTCGCTGGGTCAAAAGTAGATTCAGCATCAGAAGTGTTCAGGGTATGTTGTTTTGCATGAAGGAGAAGGACCTGGTAGGTAGAGCAGGACTGACAGAGAAAGGGACGGGACAGACGGGTGAAAAAGCCCGGATTATAGGGAATCTCCAACCACTTTCCGTCTCAGGACAACAATTATCTAAGTCTCACAATGTGTTAAATTGAAAGTGCTGTTTTCAGAGACTCATTGTCTAGTTTATATTGTGGCCCAACAGTGTTACAAAAGAAAATGAGGTGCTTGGGCCTGATCTACCCCTGAGTCTAAGGTGGTTGAGATTTGTAAGGACACAGGCAAGAGGGGCCGTTTTAGGGTTTGGGGAGGAAGTGTTCACCATGATAAGAATAGTGTGCTCCACATGAGGGGAAGGGTGAGTGACAGACCACAAATCCAAAGGTGGCTGTTTGGGGCGGATGTCCTTACTGCTAAACAAATCACCATGAGAAGCGAGGGTGACCCTCTAGACTGGGTGTCCCCAGTCCAGAAGGACCCAACAGCTGAGGGCTCTTCTGGCCTAGCGCTAGGACCTTTGAGACAAGAGGACTTTCGAGAAGTCAATGAGAGTGAGTGGACAGAAGACTCCAGATGAGAGAAGTTGTGGAACGTCACTCACCTAGAGAAGATTGGCCGATGTGGGCTGGAGGTTCAGCAATGGAGAAGGAGAGGTTTCTGATCTGGCATCCTCCTTGGCTGGTTCGGGAGGGCCTGAAAGGGAGGGATGCCCAATCGAGGCCAGTAATTGAGCCACCCAAGTAGGATTCAGAGGTAAACCCAGGACGAGCTGTTGTGGCTACTGCTCTCTGAGCAGCAAACCTAGGGTAACTGAAGCCAGGGCAATGGCTCCCTTTCCCTGTGAACCCTCCTGGGTTTTGGCACCAAATGTAAGGGTCGCCGAAGGAGATATCCATGAGGCCAAAAGTGGTAAAGAATTATAACTTTATTAGGTCATCTGGGAACCAAATGGGCTGAGCCCCCAAATGGCGCCAGCACCCAGGTATGGGGAGTTGGAGGTTTTAAAGGACTCTAGGCGGGCTTTTTTGGGGAACTCTCTGGGCAGGTTGGATCCTGGGGAAGTCTGGAGGGGAAAGACAATAGTCTTAGCAAGTAGAATGTGGTCTAAGCGAAAGGGAATTTTGGTTGTGAAGTGGCTAAAGGTCAGTTTCCCAGAGGTATTGATTCAATTATTTGATCAGACCTATCAGAAACTAAAATAATTTCCTGAAGAAACAATATCTATTTGCAAGAATAGATATTTGCAAGAATCAAAGGGAAAGGGGTTGTTTTCTATTAAAGCTTAGCATCTTTAATAGATGACTCCCTTTCTCTCTGGTCACTCTGATTTTTCTTCTCAGGCTCAGATTTCTATAATTTGTTAAGGAAAAGGCCAGTCAAGCTTCATAGCACTACCTCCAACTGGCAGTCAGGAGAGGACTCTGTAAAAACTTACTTCTCGGGGACCTAACAAACTCCATTTAGGAAATGTGTTGTTAACTAGTAAATCCAGAGAAAACATATATTTCTGTTTTGAAAATAAGAGCTTCTATTTGTTTTCTGTCACCCAAAAGATTATTTGTAAAGAATACAAGGTATATATCTTGCCTGGTTTTGTTCAGTGGATTGAGCGTCAGCCAGGTTCGATTCTGGTCAAGGGCACATACCCAGGTTGCAGGCTCAATCCCCAGTGAGGGGCGTGCAGGAGGCAGCCAATCAGTGATTCTCTCTCATCATTGATGTTTCTATCTCTCTCTCCCTCTCCCTTCCTCTCTAAAGTCAATTTTAAAAAAAAGAACACAAGATATAAATGTCTCCAATGAATTTGGCCTGGGTCAGGACCTCTGTTCCTGAATAGTCTCAGTCATTGCATTTCGTTAGGAAGAACTGAGCTTTTCCAAAAGGTAACACATAATTGAACTTGCCTCTTCCTTAGGGTACACCACGTCCCTCTTGTTCCTCCCCTTAGTGTTTCTAGTGTTATGGGTTTGGTTTCTATCTTATTTTGCTGTGTAAGCTGCAAAAGTGTCAGGTTTTTCTGACTGTTCTCTGCCTTCTGATTACCCTTTTAAGCAATGCTGATTGCAGGAAATGGCTGTGGTGCAAGGCGGTGCCACAGTGATTAGAACCCGTGGTGTCATTGCCTGCCTGATTGAAGTAATCACACAGAGGGGAAGAGCAGATGGAATGCTCCCAAATGTGCAGAGGAGACTGTTTCTCATCATTTGGGTTTAAGGATTTTGAGTTAAAGAATCAAAGTTAATGTGAGTTAAGGCTTGTGTTTTTAGTCATTTTGTTTCATTCTTAATCTTCAAAACTTCTTCAGAACTTCTGGGTCTCTGCATGTTGTTTTTCTAAGGAAAATAGGTTTTGCTATTTACCAAACACAAGGTCCCCTGTATACTAGTACATGAGTATAAAATCGTGGCTGAGCATATCAAGGGAAAAGATACTAGAATGTAAATGGGATGAGCAGGTGAGAAGGAAATGGGAAAGGCCCCAATAGCTCAATTCTGCAAGCCTTCCCCTCCCCACCCCTTCAGATGCCATGGGAAGTCCAGGTTGTCACCTGTACTCTGACCATTGGAAGGTCCAACAGCCCCCTCCTTAGGTTCAATGAATTGGCTAGAGCAGCTCACAGAACTCTGAGAAACATGTACTTGGGCTTACCAGTTTATTATAAAGAATACAAATGAATAGCCAAATCCAAGAGATGCATAGATGTATGTGGGAAGGGGCTCGGAGCCCCTATGCTGTCCCCACACCATGTGCTTGCCAACCTTTTGGATTTTTATGGAGGCTTCATTTAAGAGGCTTGATTCGTTAAATCATTGGCCATTGGTGATTGAACTTTATTGTCAGCCCTTTTCTCCTCCCCTGAGGTCAGAGTTCAGGGGGTAGGACTGAAATTTCTGCCCCCCTAATCCAGTGATGGTGAACCTATGACACGCGTGTCAGAGGTGACACACGAACTGATTCTTTTGGTTGATTTTTCTTTGTTAAATGGCATTTAAATATATAAAATAAATATCAAAAATATAAACCTTTGTTTTACTATGGTTGAAAATATCAAAAAATTTCTATATGTGACACTGCACCAGAGTTACGTTAGGTATTTTCAAAATGCTGACACGCTGAGCTCAAAAGGTTCGCCATCACTGCCTAATCACAAGATTGGTTCCCCAGGCAGCCAGTCCTGAACCTCTGGTTATCTAGGGGCTTTCCTAAAGTCTCCTAATTAACATAACAAAACACTTTATCACTCTCATCACTTAGGAAATTCCAAGGGCTTAGGAGTTCTGTGCCTGGTAGGGGGATGAAGACCAAATACAGATTTCTTATTGTACATCAGAATATCACCACTAACCTATTTAAATTATTTGGTTGTTCTGAAAAAGTATTAGTCCCAATTGGGAATGGCTATTTGAATTAGATATACTTATCCGTACAGAAAATACAGCTTAATATTCTGAAACTTGATTTTTGTCTAAGTCGTGACCAATCCCATTGTCTTCCCATCTTCTGTTCTTGTGAGCATGGAGAGAGTGGGCTGTGGAAACTCTTTAACTCACGGCATTGGATCACCAGCATTACTCAAATGGAGGTTGTTATGAGCCAACACTGTAATAGGTGTCAAAGGCATCAACTAATGATTTCTTATGTCTTTGTCTCCCTCAGGTACAGAACCGTGGCATTTCTATTTAATTAATGGATTTCTGAATTTTAATGTAGTCTTTGCTTTGGCTCTCCTGGTCTTACCACTGACTTCTCTTATGGAATACCTACTGCAGAGATTTCATGGTGAGTGGCACAAGGGATGATAGGTGTTTTGGGAGGGAAGAGCAAGTAACAGTGTATACCAAGAAATGAAAAATCAACAATGAAGATTTTAAAAAAAGAAATGAAAAAGAATCTGCTTATTTATTCTCTATTTTCTCCCTTTGGAAATGGTTGATTTATTGAATTTCTATCTGTATGTTTGGATTACTTAGACTCCTGTGAAGATGTGGTGAATAATTGAAAATTAAGCTGGCAAGGAGGAGCTTTATATCCCTTAAAGTGAGGCAGTCAGTATAATTTACAGAACCACCCTGGGAGGCAAAAAAGCATATAAAATCTCAGAAGATAAACCTGTTTGGTTAAGTCTCCTGTTTTTTAAAGAAGTGTTAACACAGTAGATTGTTTAAGATAATCAGTGCTAGAGGCAAACATTCTTTGGGAAATCATTTCCAACCAAAATCTGAAAACTAAGCCATATAGGGAGTCCCCCGAATTAGATACTGAAGTGAGAGAAGCTTTGGACTCTGCTCTTTTGTTCTGTTTTGCTTCCCTTTGCCTTATTGTGAAAAGTTTAGGTTGTCATTTGTTTTGCTTGCTCTACTTCACAGCCATTGTTTTCTCAAGTCATGCTTACGATATCTAGTGCTATAGTTTCTCTTATGGAAGACAGAATTGAGTAGAAATTAAAATGTGATTTGGAAAGAGTTTTATTTCAGACTTTTCAGTCTGATTTGGTTGCCATGTGATTGATCCTTCCACTCCACGCCTTATTCTGCTTTTCTACTATTAATGGTTTAGGAAGAGTTTACTGTACTATAGGAATAGAATAGGAAAGCAGCCTTCAGAGTCACTTTTGTTTTGTGTGAGGACTTTTGTTTTAACATAACCATAATGCCATAACAAAAGTAAGAAATTGCTTAATATCATCTAAAATCAACTTGATATTCAGATTTTCTTCATTATCTGAAAAATAGCTTTTTACAGTTAGTTTGTTTAAAGGAGGATCTAAATACAAGTCATATACTGAATTTAGTATTATGTTTCTTAAGCTTTTTAAAAGGTCCCCCACTCTTACCTCTTTTTTTCCTGAAGATTTCTAAGGAAATTAGGTCATTCATATTGTAGTGTTTCCACATATGTGGTTTTTTATTTTTTTATTTTTTAAAATTCTTTATTAGTTAAGGTATTACAAATGTGTCCTCATCCCCCTATTAAACCCCCATCCTCCCCCCATCCCCTCACTCATGCTCTCATCCCCCTGTTGTCCATGTCCATTGGTTTGGCTTATATGCATGCATACAAGTCCTTTGGTTGATCTCTTCCCCTTGCCCCCTCTCTCCCCTACTTTCCCTCTGGGGATTAATAGTCTGATCGCTGTTTCTCTGTCTTTGGATCTGTCCCTGTTCATCAGTCTATGTTGTTCTCTATATTCCACAAATGAGTGAAATCATGAGGTATTTATCTTTCTCTGTATGGCTTATTTCACTTAGCATAATGTTCTCCAGTTCCATCCATGCTGTTGCAAAAGGCAACAGTTCCTTCTTTTTTACCGCAGTGTAATATTCCATTGTGTAGATGTACCACAGTTTTTTAATCCACTCATCTGTTAATCACAAAAAATAATTTATGCTTGTGGAAAATTTGGAAATGCTTGTAATCCTATATAATAAAGGCTAATATGCAAATAGACCAAATGGCAGAACGACTGGTCGCTATGACGTACACTGACCACCAAGGGTCAGACGCTCAACACAGAAGCTGCCCCTTGGTGGTCAATGTGACAGAAGCTGGGCTGGCAAGCGCAGTGGCAGTGGTGGGAGCATCTCCTGCCTCCGCTGCAGCGCTAAGGATGTCCGACTGCTGGCTGGGAGCAGGCCTAAGCCATCAGTTGGACATCCCCCGAGGGCTCCTGGACTGCGAGGAGGCACAGGCCGGGCTGAAGGACCCCCCTGAGTGCACGAATTTCGTGTACCGGGCCTCTAGTGTAAATATAAAAACAGTATAGTAAGCTGTTTTCTACAGTATGAATCCAATTTTGGTTTAAAAGTGTATAATAACACACATATCCACCTAGTAAGAAAAAAAGTGCTTTCCGGTTTTTTTGTTTGTTTTTTTAATCTTTTTTATTTATTTATTGTTTTATTGCTTAAAGTATTACAAAGGGTATTACATATGTGTCCTTTTTTTTTTCCCCCGCCCTTGACAATCCCCTGGCCTCCCCTAACCCCCAGTGTCTTATGTCCATTGGTTATGCTTATATGCATGCATACAGGTCCTTCGGTTGATCTCTTACCCCCCTCCCTCCTGCCCCCCAACCCTCCCCGGCCTTCCCGCTGCAGTTTGACAATCTGTTTGAGGCAGCTCTGCCTCTGTATCTATTATTGTTCATAAGTTTATAATGGTCTTTATTATCCATGAATGAGTGAGATCATGTGGTATTTTTCCTTCATTTGACTGGCTTATTTCACTTAGCATAATGCTCTCCAGTTCCATCCATGCCGTTGCAAATGGTAAGAGTTCCTTCTTTTTTATAGCAGCATAGTATTCCATCATGTAGATGTACCACAGTTTTCTAATCCATTCATCTACTGATGGGCACTTAGACTGTTTCCAGATCTTAGCTATGGTGAATTGTGCTGCTATGAACATAGGGGTGCATATATCCTTTCTGATTGGTGTTTCTGGTTTCTTGGGATATATTCCTAGAAGTGGGATCACAGGGTCAAATGGGAGTTCCATTTTTAGTTTTTTGAGGAAACTCCATACTGTCTTCCATAGTGGCTGCACCAGTCTGCATTCCCACCAGCAGTGCACAAGTGTTCCTTTTTCTCCACATCCTCTCCAGCATTTGTCATTTGTTGATTTGTTGATGATAGCCATTCTGACAGGTGTGAGATGGTACCTCATGGTTGTTTTGATTTGCATCTCTCAGATGATGTGACTTTGAGCATGTTTTCATATGTCTCTTGGCTTTCTGAATGTCCTCTTTTGAAAGGTGTCTATTTAGGTCCTTTGCCCATTTTTTGATTGGATTGTTTATCTTCCTTTTGTTAAGTTGTATGAGTTCCCTATAAATTTTGGAGATTAAACCCTTATCGGTGATAACATTGGCAAATATGTTCTCCCACGCAGTGGGCTTTCTTGTTGTTTTGTTGATGGTTTCTTTTGCTGTGCAGAAGCTTTTTATTTTGATGTAGTCCCATTTGTTCATTTTCTCTTTAGTTTCAAGTGCCCTAGGAGCTGTAGCAGTGAAGAAATTGCTTTGGCATCTGTCTGAGATTTTGTTGCCTTTGGATTTAGCTTTCTGTTTTTAGTTATACTTTTTTTGTCTATTTTATAATAGGAACAGTACTTTTTACAAAGAAAAAACAGGAGAATATAAAGAAGTAGGAAATAAATGATCCATATATTCCATCATGCAGTACAACTGTGATTATGATTTTGCATATTATATGGGGGACATTTCAAAATTTTAGGTCATATTTAAAAATGTATTTGTTCACGTTTGAGATACAGAATAGAAAAAGATTGTTTACTTGTACTTATTTTCTTTCAATTAAGAAAATTTCAACCTAAACTATTTCCTGGGAAGGGATAAATTCTAAATTGTAACCTGAAATCTCATGATAAAATCTTAGAGTTGAAAGTTTAAAGATAAGCTTGTTGCAGTTTAAAAATTTTTATCACTGAGGAGTTTCTTCAAAAATACAAATAAATTAGGAGTGCTAAATTAGGCATCCTAAGGTGGATTTTAAAAATTCATCTTAAAAAATCAAATTTTAAAATTTTTATTTTTTTTTTTTATAATTTTTTTTATATACATTTTATTGATTTTTTACAGAGAGGAAGGGAGAGAGATAGAGAGCCAGAAACATCGATGAGAGAGAAACATCGATCAGCTGCCTCCTGCACACCCCCCACTGGGGATGTGCCCGCAACCAAGATACATGCCCTTGACTGGAATCGAACCCGGGACCCTTCAGTCCGCAGGCCGACGCTCTATCCACTGAGCCAAACCGGTTTCGGCTAAAATTTTTATTTTTAAGTTGGATCTTAAGGACAATGATTTCATCTGAACTTGCTCATTACAGACAAAATGGACACTAGGGGGCGCTCTCTATCTACTATTTGCTAGTGATCTATGTACTGCTCATTATCACTAACAGAAGCACAGTAGGGGATGCCTTCAGTCTTATCACTAAGTGTTCATGTACCTAACCACAGCACCTTTCCAGCATGTGCCTGGTCTTAGTGTTCATTAAATTCCTTTAATTCTTTCATATGCTTTAAGTACATTTTGGTTCCAATTTTGGGATTCAGAGTAGATGGATATTTGCAGAAGAGTAAAGAAAACTTGATCAGTAAACTCCCTTTAAGAGTGTTTTTATATTTGCTTAGAAACAAACTCTTTGTCATTTGTGGTTTGACAAAAACAGTGATGTGTTTAAGAATCCTGCTCCACCCACCGGTTCCAGTCTCGCGTGGGACGCTGGGGGACGGCAGATGGGCAGTCTTTGCACTTGGTGGAGGGTGAAGTCCGAACAGGCGTGCTGGATGTTCAGCCACTAGGAACGCCTGGAGATTTTGTCTGGTGGGGAGCCGCCTGGCAGGGGACAGGGGGCCAAACTTCTTGTTTCCCCGGTGAGGTTGGGACGGCCCCGGTGAGATCGGGACGGCCCTAGTGAGGTCAGGACGCCCCGGTGAGGCTGAAACGGCCCCAGTGAGGCCGGGACGGCCCCGGTGAGGTCGGGATGCCCCCAGAAAGATCAAGACGGCCCTAGTGAGGTCGAGACTGCCCCGGTGAGGTCAGGGTGGCACCAGGGAGGTCGGGACGGCCCCGGTGAGGTCGGGATGACCCCAGTGAGGTTGTGACGGCCCCAGTGAGGTTGTGACGGCCCCGGTGAGGCCGAAACGGCCCGGGTGAGGTCGGAATGGCCCCGGTGAGGTCGAGACGGCCCCGGTGAGGTCGTGTCGGCTCCAGTGAGGTCGGGATGGCCCCGGTGAGGTTGAAACGGCCCCGGTGAGGTTGAAACGGCCCCGGTGTGGTCGGGACGGCCCCGGTGAGGTCAGGACGGCCCCGGTGAGGTTGAAACGGCCCCGGTGAGGTAGGGACGGCCCTGGTGAGGTTGAAATGGCCCCGGTGAGGTAGGGATGGCCCCGGTGAGGTTGGGACGGCCCCACTGAGGTTGAAACGGCCCCGGTGAGGTTGAAACGGCCCCGGTGAGGTCGGGACAGCCCCGGTGAGGTTGAAACGGTCCCGGTGAGGTCAGGACGGCCCCGGTGAGGTCGGGACGGCCCCGGTGAGGTTGAAACGGCCCCGGTAAGGTTGGGACGGCCCCAGTGAGGTCGGGACGGCCCTGGTGAGGTTGAAACGGCCCCGGTGAGGTCAGAACAGCCCCGGTGAGGTTGAATCGGCCCCAGTGAGGTCGGGACGGCCCTGGTGAGGTTGAAACGGTCCCGGTGAGGTCAGGATGGCCCTGGTGAGGTTAAAACGGCCCCGGTGAGGGCGGGACGGCCCCAGTGAGATTGAAACGGCCCCGGTGAGGTAGGGACAGCCCCAGTGAGGTTGCAATAGCCCCGGAGAGGCTGAGACGGCCCAGGTGAGGTTGGGACTGCTCCAGTGAGCTTGTGACAGATAATGGGGACCAGTATAGACTGATGAACAGGGGTAGATGCAGAGGCAGAGCAACATTGAACAGACTGTCAAACTACAGTGGGAAGCCTGGGGAGGGTTTTGGGGGGGATTAAGAGATCAACCGAAGGACTTATATGCATGCATATAAGAATAACCAATGGACACAAGACACTAGGGGGTAGGGACCGGGGGAATGTCAAGGTGGGGGGGGAGGAGACATGTGTAATACTCTTTGTAATACTTAAAGAAATAAAAATTATTAAAAAAAAAAAGAATCCTGCTCTTTTTCTTTCCTTTAATATGTAGCTATTTGAACAGACCACTGGTGTATAAGTAAGAAGAGTAACATATTAAAAATAACATAGCAATTAAAACCCAAAAAATGAGTTTATGTTATGTTTTTGGTTAATCTCAGGAACCTTTACTCTTAATGGCAGGACTCATTAGAGAGAGAAGGCTTTTTTTTCTTCATTCAATGTACAAATGAAGCTCTATTGCCCATTCGCCTGACTTTCATTTATTCTAGCCAGATCCAGTATTGTGCCTCCCTTTCCATGTTGGATCTCTTGGGAGAGCTAAAGAGTATATACCTCTTTTTACTCAACTCCTTTATTGCACCGGAGAAAGTGTGAACACAAGAAATGAAATATTTTATGGGGTGCCCTAGGGCATATTTTCATGTTTGAGATCAAGAGAACATTGAAACTCAATATGTTGTTTTCTAATATGGTGAAAGGTGGATATTTTTCTGTGTTTTACAGTTCAGAATTTAGGCCACCCATATTGGCTTACCTTGGCTCCAATGTATATTTGGTTTATAATTTTCTTCACCCAGCCTCACAAAGAAGAGCGATTTCTTTTCCCTGTATATCCACTTATATGTCTCTGTGGTGCTGTGGCCCTTTCTGCACTTCAGGTGAGTTTCAGGGAAATAGATATCTGCTTCATTCTGCTTCACTTTTTAAATTATTCCTAAAGTTTACAGGCAAATTACAAAATGCTTCCACTGAAGGTATTTAACCGTACATTAAGCCTGATACAGATCATGTTATTAAGGCTTTATGTAGTGCTCGCTTAGCTGTTGATTGTACTCTTTTTTTGCTGATTACATATTTGCAGTGTTGATTTGTGAGTTATTTGTCTCTGTTGCCAATAAGAATCCAAGTATTTTTAAATCATTGAATGGGCCTCCCATAGAATGGTGGTACCCCAGCAGAGCTAATAGAATGTCTGCTCTTCAACAGTGAGATCAGGATAAAACCTGTTCAGCTGTTTGAAATAATATCAGGCAGTTAAACCCAGTTTAGATCAATTCCCTGTTAGAATTAATCTTGAATATCTCTGTATTTATGGCCTCAGAAGCTTCCAGACTCTTTTTTGACCTCTGCTACCATTTGCAAGTGACAGGAAAGAATAATTAGGGTAAGAGGTTTTCTCTTTAACAGATTTATGGAGATATAATCACAAACCATACAGTTTACCCATTTAAAGCATACAATTCAGTGGTTTTTAGTATACCCACAAATATGTGTAACCATCCACACAGTCAGTTTTAGGACATTTTCATCACCTCAGAAACTGTACTCTTTAACTGTTGTCACCCCCCTTTCTCTTATCTCCCCAGCCCTAGCTACCATTCATCTATTTTGTATCTCTGTAGATTTGCCCAGTCTGGACATTTCATATTTTTAAAAAATAAATTATTAGCATTTAAAGAATTAAAGAAATATCCAAATGATTTTCCTATGAAGCTACTGAGATTTCATTCTTTTTAAAAAAATATATTTTATTTTTTACAGAGAGGAAGGGAGAGGGATAGAGAGTTAGAAACATCAATGAGAGAGAAACATCAATCAGCTGCCTCCTGCACACTCCCTACTGGGGATGTGTCTGCAACCAAGGTACATGCCCTTGACCGGAATCAAACCTGGGACCCTTGAGTCCGCAGGCTGATGCTCTATCCACTGAGCCAGACTGTTTAGGGCTGAAATTTCATTCTTGAGAAACCCTCTGGCCAGGCTGACCCTAAGATAGTCTTTATCTTAGAATTTGGAGTGGGTACCTCACTAAATGTTTGCAAGTTCTGAGACCCTTGATAGAACCTCTTTTGCTGCTTTTTCCATCTTTGTTTTGCTATGATGTCTTCTAATTGTGTATACTCTGCAAGGTATATCTTTTTTTAATAGTTTTCTTTCCTTCTAGAAATGCTACCACTTCGTGTTTCAGCGGTACCGCCTAGAGCATTACACTGTGACCTCAAATTGGCTGGCGTTAGGAACACTCTTCCTGTTTGGACTCTTATCCTTTTCTCGCTCTGTGGCCCTGTTCAGAGGTAGGTGTACTGAGAATGTCTTAATCCATACTCATGAGGCAATTCATCTTGGGTTTTGCTTAATGTGTGATTGTTAGTGCAACGCAGCTTGAGCTGGGAGGACTTTTCTATAGGGTGGCCTGTGGACTTAAATATTAAGACTGGGGTGTGTCTCTTTATTTTAGGATTGAAGAGAAAATTGAGAATTCCTTTTAGTGTGATTACCTGTAGTTCTTTTTCTCTATTCTTAGTGACTTTTTCCCCTTCAAAGGATACCTTTTCTTTTTAAAGGATGAATTAAGGAAGTTTTAAACTTAGGATTAGATTTGGGGCTCAATTCCTGATTTATATGTTTTCTTATAATCTTTAATTTCACATAGATTAAAATGGGACATCAACATGCATCATAAGTAAATATCGGAACCTCATGTTACTTACTCATCTTTGGCTTTCACAAGACTTTCAATTTTTTTCCTTCCAGGGTATCATGGGCCCCTTGATTTGTATCCAGAATTTTACCGAATTGCTACAGACCCAACCATCCACACTGTCCCAGAAGGCCGACCTGTTAACGTCTGTGTAGGAAAAGAGTGGTATCGGTTTCCTAGCAGCTTCCTTCTGCCCGATAAGTAAGTTGTTCTTTAATCCGAGTTTTAAATCAAAGAGTAAAATAGCAAATCTATGTCAATGTCTTTTTAATTTTTCTTTTTTGGGGGTATTTTTCACAAAAAGATTTTCTATTACCATCTCAGAGAGCTGTGGGACCTGCACTGTGCACCCATTGCCTCTGTTCAGGGGTCCGAATGCTGTGTTTGGTTGTGCACCCTGCCCTTAACCACAGAGCTCTGGGGAATTCTAAAACCACTTTGGGCCCTGGGCTCCTGCCAGTGGCTCTTCCTAAGGATTCATATTTAAATTTCTATAGGGATCTGATATGAATTCACTTCTAAAAGTGGTCTAGAAACTTTAGCAAGAAGAGTGTTTTTAGAGAAGAAATGTCATGTAACAACACTAGAAGGTTCCACCGGTGTATGGACACTAGGGGGAGCTGTGGTCAAGACAGCTGTGCCACTTTCCTTTAAGCTGTCTATTGTGATAGCATTAGGTTCTGGGATTCCTTGTATTTGCTTAATTTTGATGGAGAAGAGTCCTATTTGGGGAAAAGGGAAGTCAGGTTAAGAGTCATTTTCCTCCATTTGGGGACTGGTGTTATCTTGTGCTTGGTAAAGATCCTATTATCAGCCATTAATAATTAAATCAATACTTATTTTTTAAGTGTTGACTTTACCTTTAGTTATAAAATAGTTTCATAACTAAAGATATTTTTGAAGAATACTTAGGAACAAGTCCTTCTCCCATAGTGAGTTTTTACATTTCACTCTTTCCTCTATATACCCGATGAATTTGCTGTGATCTGGATAGGGGGTAATTGGCAATTAACTGGTGCTTCTCTGGTTGTTTGATGGTATGAACATTTGGTTACACAGTCATTGCTGAGAGCTGGTGAAATGGATTGAGAGACCTCTAGTTTAACATTTCTCAACGAGTTTGGACTGAATTGTGACCTCTGCCTCTATGCTCCAGGGTTGAGGTTTCAGTAGAAATATCTTTTTTTCCAAGTGAAATGAAATATTTTTACATGATTTGGAGGGGGGGGGCTTGTTTATTTCAAGAACATTAGCAATATGGGCCCTCTGTGTTTTTCTTATTATCCTTATTTGTGTTTCTGACAGTTGGCAACTTCAGTTCATTCCATCAGAGTTCAGGGGTCAGTTACCAAAACCTTTTGCGGAGGGACCACTGGCCACCCGGCTTGTTCCTACTGACATGAACGACCAGAACCTAGAGGAGCCATCCAGATATGTAAGGGGAACATTCTCTTTTTACTACTTTGAAAGGCTGTTGGCAAACATGTTAGAACGTTGATAAAATGGGAATTTCTTAGAAAGTGTTTTCTTTGAGGTGAGGGCTATAACAACTTTGTTGAGAAAAAATGAACAGTATCACTTTTATTTTTCAAATTACCACCTTTATTTTCTATGTAAGACATATAACTCAATATATTTTCTGAGCTGGGCTGGAAATTTTTATGTTGAATTTGACTTATCATTTTAAAACAGATTCTGAAACTCTTTTCATTCCTTGGTCCATTAAAATACTTGGTGGGGAACTTTCAAGTTATCAGTAGCCCTTTGACCTAACAAGTAGTATATCCTGGTTTTAGCAAATGGACAGTCAGTGAGGGCTATTTTCACAGCCCATCCATGGAGCAATGTCTCTCAGGACTGCATTCTTCTACCCACTCGTCTTCACTCGCTCTGAGATTCTATGTGGGTTTTATTTCAGTGTCTTTGAAAGATGACACCATTTGGTACCAGTAAAATCCTTGATTGCAGAAAAGGTGAGAGCAATAAAGATAGTACTCCTGGTTCCCAGAGTCAGTAAAATATTATTTTATAGAATTATTAGAAAGCACATTTTTGGGCAACATTGAACAATTTAAATGTCAAATACATTTTGTTTAGGTTTCTTATGTCGTATACTTGAAATGTGGAACACCAGGTCCCGGTTCCCTTCCGAAGCCACTGGCAGCCACATCTGGCCTTTGTCTCCTGGGCTGGGGCTGGTTAGACTTCCAAGGAGACCCTCAGGGCTTATGAGTGAGATTCTTATTGTGTGAGCGTTAGCTATAAGCTATGAAAGTGAACATCATAATGCACAAACTTGGTTTGGCCCCCTGAGAAGGTAAGATATGTACGCCCCTAAGTGGCTTGTATTGGAGTTTCCTTCTAATTTAAGCCTCCGATTCCTGTAACAACATCAGGTAGCCCTGGGCAGGGTAATCTGTTATTGGTCATTCTCATTTTAGCTGAGAGCAGGCTTTGATGTACAGGGGATCGCATCACCATGGGGACACTGGATACTTAAGAGTGGGAGAATACACTATAATGGGGAAGATATAAATTGAGTGATGTTTTAGGAAGAGCTAGCATAAGGTAGTCAAAAAGAGCATGGGCTTTGGAGTCTGGTCTGAGTTCAAATCCCAGTTCCGTTGCTTATCTTAGTGATCGTTGGCAAATTAGTTAACTTCTTTGTTTAACTAATTTCAGTTTCTATCTGGAAAATGGCAATAATGATACCTACTTTGGAAGATTATTATGAGATCAGATATTATATTTCTCTGATATATTTAGTATAGTGTTTGATACATTGATTTTCCCACAAATGTTCTTAATTAATGGCTTATGAAATGGATTAGATATAAAGGAACCACTTAAGAGGATTTAAAATCTGCCCGAATCTATCTCTCCTTCCTTACTTTTATTGTTCCCTCACCTGGTTTTTATTTCAGTCCGTCCAGGCTCATCTTTGCCTTTTAAGAGAATATAAAATGTTCACAAAGCTAGACTATATGTTCAACCATAAAAGAAATCTCGGTACACTTGAAATTAAGGAAATCATACACATTATGCTTATCTTTAAAAATATCAATAAAATTAGTTAATCTCTAGTTAGACTGATCAAGAGCAAAGACACAAACTACCAATATAAGAAGTTAAAGTGTGCCGAAACCGGTTTGGCTCAGTGGATAGAGCGTTGGCCTGCGGACTGAAAGGTCCCAGGTTCGATTCCGGTTAAGGGCATGTACCTGGGTTGCGGGCACATCCCCAGTGGGAGATGTGCAGGAGGCAGCTGATCGATGTTTCTCTCTCATCGATGTTTCTAACTATCTCTCTCCCTTCCTCTCTGTAAAAAATCAAGAAGTTAAAGTGGAAATATCATTATAGAACCTACAGGCATTTGTGTAATATTAAGAAAATATTATGGAATATGGCAGCCGCAGGATGGCAGAGAAGGCGAGAGTATGACCGAATAAAGAAGTGAGAGGGGCGTGTGTGGACGTGTGTGGTGTGTGTATGGGTGGGAGAGGGACAGATAGATATCTCAGGAGTCCCAGGGATTGGCAGATCGGGCTCGCCTAGACGGGAAGCCCTTGCTACCCCGCAGGCATCCCCGGGCCGGCTCGGCTTTGGCACGGAAATCATTGCCTTTTCTATTCCAATGACTTTGCTTATCTGAATGACCACACTTATCTTCCTTCTGATACTAGCAACACTCCCTTCTTCTCTGAAATCTTTCCCAACTATAAGTTCCATAGTGAGCAATCCTTCTTAAGTCCCTTAAATATTTACCTGCACAGCTCATTTGGCCATTTAATTCTGTTGTCTTATGTTATTGAAATATTTCTGATATGTATGTAATATCTTTCCCCATCAGATAGTAACTGCTATAAATAGAATCACTGTACCTTATTCTTTTTGTATTCACTACAGCATCTAGGATAGTGCTGTATATCTACTAGTTAGCCTATAGATAATTTCTTGCTTGAAGGATGAATGTTGATCATCGCTGGGCTAGTGATGTTGACTATAGTGATGTGAAGAAAGCTGACTATAAAATCTCCGGTGGCCTTGCGTATATTTCTTAGACTTTAGGCACTTGTTGTCTCTAGTTAGATCTTATTTCCATATTCTTTGCTGCCAGACACGGTTAAATTTGGTTAAGTGGCTCTATATTAGCTATACTCAAAAGGTGAAGTTTTTTTGGAATACTTATAGGAGTCACCAAAATGCTGGCTAATAAAAGCAGGGACAAACAACTCAGATATATCTGCTGAGTATACAGTGGCTATCATTGTGTTCATCCACCTTCCTGTTGAGAGTTTCCCTGCAGGGTTCTCTTTGAATTTTCCTGCAGGTGGGGGAATTGCCCTCCAGATCCAGTCCACTCACCTTTAACCCTTTGGAAAATAGAAGAGAGGTTTGATGGCTTATTGTGAATTCTACATGTACTATGATTAGGAATTCATTTGTTTTTAGTTAACTGTTTAAAAAGATATTTGTTGCCCAGGCTGGTGTCGCTCAGTTGGCTTGGCATCATCCCATGCACTGAAAGATTGCTGGTTTGGTTCCCTGCCAAGACACATGCCCAGGTTTCAGGCTCCATCCCCAATGAAGAAGGCAGCCAATCAATGTTTCTTACATCAATGTTTCTCTCTCTCCCTCTTCCTTCCTCTCTCTCTCTAAAAAAAAAAGAAAAATCAATAAAAAAATATATATTTTTAAAATATATTTTATTGATTTTTTACAGAGAGGAAGGGAGAGGGATAGAGAGTCAGAAACATTGATGAGAGAGAAACATCGATCAGCTGCCTCCTGCACATCCCCCACTGGGGATGCACCTGCATCAAGGTAAAAGCCCTTGACTGGAATCGAACCCAGGACCCTTCAGTCCGCAGGCCGACGCTCAATCCACTGAGCCAAACCAGTTAGGGCAATAAAAATATTTTTAAAAAAGGTTTTGGCCCTGGCTGGTGTGGCTCAGTGGATAGAGCGTCGGCCTGCGGACTGGAGGGTCCCGGGTTCGATTCCGGCCAAGGGCATGTACCTGGGTTGCGGGCACATCCCCAGTAGGGGGCGTGCAGGAGGCGGCTGATCGCTGTTTCTCTCCCATCGATGTTTCTAACTCTCTATCCCTCGCCCTTCCTCTCTGTAAAAAATCAATAAAATATTTAAAAAAAAAAAAAAAAAAGGTTTTGTTTTCCTCTCATGGTAATGGTAATATACATTTATTTATAAAATAATGAAAGCTGTCAATAAGAAAAGCAATCATCTATAATCTCATTAAATACATATTAAGCCATTAGCAGTTTGATGTTTTTCCTTCTACTTTTTTCTCCTATATACATATATAACATATTTATATTTAAACAAAAATCTCAACTATTTTTAAAAATAGTGCCGTATCCAGCTGGCATGGCTTAGTGGTTGAGCATCGACCTGTGAATCAGGAGGTCACTGTTCAATTCCCAGTCGGGGCACATGCCCAGGTTGTGGGCTCGATCCCCAGTGTGGGGTGTGCAGGAGGCAGTCGATCAACGATTCTCATCATTTATGTTTCTATCTCTCTCTAACCTCTCTCTTCCTCTTTTAAATAGTGCTGTAGTTTTTAAGAAATGGTGCCAGGATCAAGACTGTAATGGCTAAATAACTTTGCCCAACACAGAGGAAGCCATGCTGTACTACATTTATGCTTGTTACTTTGGGTATCAGTCCTGGTTTTTAAGTCTGGGTTCATTCAAAAAGGCAAAGTAATTATGTTATCTTTCTTTCCTGAGCATGCTAAATAGCAACATTATTTTTATCTGCCCTTTGTCTCTCAGTAATGGGAAAGCCAACCCTTCAGTGCTAAGTGATTTGGGTCTGTCTCCTGTTTCTAGTCTGACTGGTTAACATGTAAGACCTCCTTTATTTCCCTAGCCCCTTTACCTCTGAGTTTATCAGGAATTAGGAAGGAGTGTTTATAAAGGTTCTGTGGTTTCTACTGCATTGTTATAACTATACTAGAGGCCCAGTGCATGAAAATTGTGCACGGGTAGGGTCCCTAGCGGCTGCCGGCTGCTCGCCTTCCTTCGTCCATGCTGCCCCCTGGTGGTCAGCACATGTCATGGCGAGTGATCAAACCCCCGGTCAGTCAAACTCCCACTTTGCATATTATGCATATTAGGCTTTTATATATATTGGTTGCAGAAATAATTTTGCTTTTATATTCTTTCATGGCAAGTATTGAGTAGTTATTGAACATTCCATTATTGAGCAGGTAACATTTTTACACTGATACATGCCAAAATTTTCGGCCAGAATCAAGGTCTGAATTTAGAAGATACGTTTTATTGACCTTGCAAAAGACCTCAAGTTTGCTTGTGGAAGTGGTGTTGGAAGGCTTGCAGCTTGTGAACGAGTGAAAGGGTTCTTTGAAATATGACATAAAGTTATAATACCAAAAAGGATGGATGTGGCTCT